GAAGGGGGACTGGAGTCCTGTAGCTGCTTAACAATACACAAAGGGCTATATTATGAATTGCTGTCACGGTTACATCAGCTGGCACCCTTTCCTCTCCCCTAGACCCCTTCGAATGTGTTTCTTCACTTCTCCGGGCCTCAGTTTATTCATCTGTGCAATGGGACTGAAGCTATTTATCTTTGAACACTCTGCTACAGGATTCTGTGATAGGGTTGTAAACCTTTTCACAACCGTCAATATTTCCAGTAGAATTTTTAACCATTACATTTATTTACTTATTTACTCAGTTACTTACGGAATAGAATGCATATGTATGTAGATATATGTTTTTGCCTCACATTAGAAAAACACTGAATGCTTTTGACTTGTTGAACTAGGTTCTATCAGAAAATTATATTCTCTCTCTCCCTCAGTCCCCTCACCCCTCTCTGTCCTTCCCCCTTCCCTCTATCTTCCTGCCTCCTTTCCTCCCACCCTTTTTCATTCGGGGACTACCAGTAAATGAAACTCCACCCATCCGAGCCCAGTGGCAATTGTCCCCATGAAAGCTGGGGTAGCATATTTATGGGAGTTTTTGCCTAAAGGTTCCTGGGCTTTATTGTGACTGGCATGACTAAGAGCCCAGCTGTTGACTAAAAAACTTCACTCATCGCAGATGAGAACTGGCTCACACGTTCCTGTACTCACTGGAAAATGAAATTAAACTCTAGAGGGTGGTGTATGTGTTTTATTTTCCTCCAAGTGCAAGTAGGTGCCAAGGCATTGGAGTGGTACAAATTTTACTCTTTGTTAGAATGGAATGGGACTTAAGAATAAGGAAGAAAACCATTTCTGCTCCGAGTAACTTTGTTCATTTTTTCCAGCTTGGAAACTTGGTTACTTTCTAATTATAGATTGTGGCTGGGTGTGTTGTAAGCTAAAACCAGTTCTATAGGGCTCTGTGCTCCGGTCTTTTCCCTTGAACATGAGCAACAGGAACAGGTGAAAAGCAAATTTGGAATTGCTTAAGTCAGGCCTGGATTTTTTGTTGTTCTTTGTCCTGGGCTTTATTTAGACATTCAACATAGATGAATGTCCAGAGGAAAAACTTCTAGAAGTAACGTACATGGCCACCAAGTACTTTGCTTGTCCAGAGGAAAATAGACAAAGCTTGGCATACTTTTTGTTGTATGTTTCACCTCACAAATTATTTTAGTAGGCATTCTAGAAAGAACTGAGTAGGATACTTTGCTAGCTTGCTACCAACCAACCATCTTTTATTTGCAGTTTATGCAAAGCAGTTTCCTTAAACTTGAACTCTCCACTCTAGTTTTTTGCGTTACTGTTGATCTTTGCTTTTCTTTACAGCTCAAAAATATTTGGGTGAAACTAATAAACAAATGGGAATAAACTACCCACGATGCTCCTACCCAGTATAACTGCTCCAGTCTTTCAGTATAACTCTTTTCGGAATCTTTTGAGTGCTAGGAATGAGATTTATTAATCGGTGACAATTTCTGGGCCTCTCCACTCAGTTTCCTTACCACCTGCTAAGAAAGATTTTGTTTTTGCCCTGTCCAGTTCTTCCCTTCCCCAGGCCTATAATTGTCTTTCCCAGATCTGGGCAGAAGGTACAGCAAAACCCAGATAAAATTTTAAAACAGAAAAAGTGCAGAGTGACTCTGTGGACCCAGATGATAAAGAACTGGTGAACAACAGACAGAACAGTTTAATTGCTGGATGCTGGGAAAGCGTGGGGGAGTGGGGTGGTGCACCTGGCCACAAGAGGATCTGGAGAATCGGCAGGGAACCAAGGTTTGGGTGGGAGAAGGAACAGCTTCGCTGTGGCATCTGAATTGCAATTGCATTAATGTTGTCAGAGAGACAATGGAAGTAAAGGTGGGCGGTTGTAGCTGGCCTGTGCCAAGCCTGGGTCTTAGGCTAGGGAGCAGTTGCTTTTATATTTTTATATTTGCCTTTCTTATATGTTCATTTTATTTCTGATTGCAAAATAATGTACTAATTATAAAAATTTCTACTTCTCAGCTACATAACATATATAAATCCACCAAACAGAATGTATTATGATTACTTTTACCCACTCGATATATTATTAATATCTTTCCATATTATTGAGTATTTAAAAATAGCTGCATATACCACCTCTAGTAAATTGGTGGCCATGTATGTTACTTCTAAAAGTTTTTCATCATAAATACCACTCATGTGACGATTGTTACAACTCAGTCTTTGCATTTTTATTTGTTTCCTTTGACTCTTTGCTGAGGGGGAGATTTATTGCCTGGAAGGGGATGAATATTTGCAAGAGTTTTGAGTGAAATAAGCAACTTACTACTATAGGGTTTAGCTCTAAATTATGTCCTACTACACTACTCTTACCACTTATGGCCATGTGGTTTAATTCCATGCATCTTTTTTTTTTTTTTAAAAAAGATTTTATTTATTTATTTGACAGAGACACAGCGAGAGAGAGGGAACACAAGCAGGGGGAGTGGGAGAGGGAGAAGCAGGCTTCCTGCTGAGCAGGGAGCCCAATGCGGGGCTCGATCCCAGTTCCCTGGGATCATGACCTGAGCCGAAGGCAGACGCTTAACAACTGAGCCACCCAGGTGCCCCAATTCCATGCATCTTAATAGAAATTTTTAACTTTTCCAAAGCAGTTTCACATTGATTATATCCCTGATTTTGCCCATTAAGGTATGTGATACTTCTACTCTTATTTGAAACTATTTCAGTTAGCTTTTGTGTTTCAGAAGGCAGAATTAGAGCTAAAATGTAAAGGGATTTTTTTTTTTTTTAAAGATTTTATTTATTTATTTGAGACAGAGAGAATGAGAGAGAGAGAGCACATGAGAGGGGGGAGGGTCAGAGGCAGAAGCAGGCTCCCTGCCGAGCAGGGAGCCCGATGCGGGACTCGATCCAGGGACTCCAGGATCATGACCTGAGCCGAAGGCAGTCGCTTAACCAACTGAGCCACCCAGGCGCCCGGGATTTTTTTTTTTTAAAAATCTTAGTTATCCCGAATATGAACCCTACTGTAAGTGTGAATCCTTCATCTGTTCTATTTCAGAGAAAGTAAGCTCTTGGCATCACCTCCCATTCCCGTTCCCCCCCCCCAACCCCGTCCCTCATTTCCAAATCAGTCACGTTGATATTCAGAGCGTGACGAAAACACGCTGACCCTCATTGTCCTTCCCAAGTAAAATGCTCGTTAAGCCTGTTGTGAGGGTAAAAAGTTAGTAACTCAATTGTACTAGCTGACCACAAATGTCATATTAAGGGCTGTGTAGACACAGTGGGTTGGGGTGGTAGTGGGACCACAACACCCAATCCTTCCTACTTATGAAATACTGGGTCTCGTTTTCCTCTTTCTTATCAACAGTAGTGTAACCTTTGGCTCATGTAACAATGAAGCCGGAGGCTCTGTGCTTGGAAATCTCAGTTGGTAGCTCATCTAATGACACTCTCGGCCCTTTTAAAGAATCACAATGGAGTCTCTGTGCCAGGAGTCATAGACTCCGATGCCTCCATGGGCCAGGCAGGTTATGTAAGAGAGCAGTGCAGGGCAGCTGTTAGACAAGCAGCGATGAATGGCGGCTCAGTGAGGGCCATGCAGTAGATGGCGGAGGGGACAGGGGGGCTAACTGGAGAGCATTTATTCTATCTGAAAGAGAAGATGCTCCAGCCAGTCGTTGACGTGTGGAAAAGCGGGCCTACTGTTGTTAGAGTTTCTTGTTTACAGGAGAAGCTAGAAATCCCAAGTTGTATGGATTTTTTCAACACGTTGGGATTCAAATAAATGTTTTTTTAAACACTGTACCATCCAAGCACAAATGTGACAATAGACTGGGTCTGGCCCATGGAGGCCATCATGGGACCTCTGCATATATCTGTTGTGGTAGCTTCTGTGAGGATTTAGATAAACCTGAAGAGCTCAGAAAATATGTCAGCATTGTCTCCGGTGTGCACTAGAGCCCGGGATATAATGAAAGCGAAACAGCCCCTCCGAAAGAGGCAGTCTCTTTTAAATTTTAAAAGTCTCTTAGCTCTTTGCCGCATTTACTGTGAGAATGAAGACTGTTCTCAGCAATCAGAATGTTGATGTTCCGGCAAATGTCAACATCACTCTGCAGGGACACACAGTGATCGTGAAAGGACGTCAGTCTCATCAGTGTACACAGTCTTCTTGGAAGGAGAAAGAAGAGGCTCAGGGTTGATAAACGTGGGGCAAGAGAAAGGGACAGGCTCCTGTTCGCACTACCCATAAACACGTACAGAACGTGATCAAGGGCATTACACTGGGCTTCCATTACAGGCGGAGGTCCGGCTATGCTCACTTCCCCAGCAATGTTGTTATCCGGAAGAATGGTTCTCTTGTTGAGATCCAGAATTTCTTGGGTGAAAAATACATCTGCAGGGTTCGGATGAGGCTTTGCTTGTTCAGTATCTCAAGCCCAGGAGAATGAGTTAATTCTTGAAGGAAATGACATTGAACATGTATCAAATTCAGCTGCTCTGGTTCAGCAAAGCACAACAGTTGAAAACAAAGGTATCATAAAAAGTTTGGATGGTACCTGTGTTTCTGAAAAAGGAACCTTTTGGCAAGGTGATGAACAAGATCGAAGTTGTCCAGCTATAGAAACAGCAAGATGCCAGATGATTCTTCAGACATATTTTAATATGTTTTAAAATACAAACCATGTATGGACTTTGGGGGGAAAATGTCTTTGAAAATTGTGGGCCTCTAATAAGATGGACTGACCAGTTTGCTGGTCAATGTCAATCTTGGCCCCACCATTTTCTCACCTCCATGCCTCAGTTTCTTCATTTGAGAAATGAATAATTAGTATCTACCTCATTGCATTATGAGGATTAAATGAGACAATTTAGATAAAATGCTAAGTACTCAACATGTGACTTGACTCCTCCTCACCTTCCTCATCTTCACACCTGGCTGCTACCAGTGCTGACCTAGCCTCCCTCTTTTCTTCATATTCCAGGTTCCTGAGCCCCTTCAACATGATCCTTGGAGGCATTGTAGTGGTGCTCGTGTTCACAGGGTTCGTGTGGGCAGCCCACAACAAAGACATCCTCCGCCGGATGAAGAAGCAGTATCCCACGACATTTGTTATGGTGGTCATGTTGGCTAGCTACTTCCTCATATCCATGTTCGGGGGAGTCATGGTCTTTGTGTTTGGCATCACTTTTCCTTTGTTGCGTAAGTGAACCTCAGTCTTCTTTTCTTATGCCATAAAAAAAAAAAAAAAATCCATGTAGGCGCGATTATTCATTGGAAATTTCCTAACCTGTTCTTTATGTGTGTCAGCATGTCTGCAAAATTATCAGAATTTTCTGCCACAGCAGATCAAGGCCTGATGGTTCCCTAATTCCACAAATATATATTGAGTGGAATTATACATAAGAGTGGAATATATATATTATATTATAAGAGTGTCTGCTCCGTGCCAGACACTCTTCTGGGGATACAACAATGCACAAAAGAAATACAAACCCCAACTCCCATGGCAAGAAATTTGCACAGCCTACAACGGCCTCCAGATTTGTTGAATATTCGAGTCTGTTCTCAATCTTTAAGTGCGGTTCATACTGTCATGACACACAATGAATGTATTTCATTTGGAAGTAAACTATTTACTCTCTGCCTACTCAGTAGATCACGTTTAGTATCAAAGTGCCCTAAGTCTGTAAGAATAATTGGCCCAGAATACAGTTACCAAGTACTCCAATTTTGGTGGAGAGAACTAGGTATTTTCTAAATTTTACATGCATTGTTTACTGAGATCCCAAACACTTGAAACCTGAAATAGAGAACAGATAAAATTCCAGCCTCATCAGCAGAAATCTAATTAAAATTATATATTATGTGACAGGAAGATCCCTTTAACTTTTAATAGCACTTCACATGTGCATTTATTTCATTAAATAAAATCAGTTACTTGTTTGGAGTTATGTTAGATTAAGCCCAGAATATTTATGGATGAATCCCACACTTTATTGGACAGAATATGTGGGTTTTGTTTTTGTTTTTTTTTTTATTTGAGACAGAGAGAATGAGAGACAGAGAGCATGAGAGGGAGGAGGATCAGAGGGAGAAGCAGACTCCCTGCCAAGCAGGGAGCCCGATGCGGGACTCGATCCTGTGACTCCAGGATCATGACCTGAGCCGAAGGCAGTCGTTTAACCAACTGAGCCACCCAGGTGCCCCAAGATATGTGTTTTTGTTTTTAAATATTTAAGTAAACTCTATACCCAATGTGGGGCTCGAACTCATGACCCCAAGATCAAGAGTCGCATGCTCTTCCAAATGAGCCAGCCAGGTGCCCCTTATTGGACAAAATATTTGAATCAGCAAATTCAGACTTTTTGAAATATTCCTGAAGTTTTCCTTATGTGCTAGAGGCTTAGTATTTCAAAGAGTCTGCTTTGACACACAGCTTGTTAACTTCAGTACCTTTCCACATCAGGGCCTGAGACAGGCCAGTGTAATGAAATAGATCATAGGTAGAGAGTCAAGGGTCCAGATTTCTTTTTTTTTTTTTAAGATTTTATTTATTTGGCAGAGAGACAGCGAGAGAGGGAACACAAGCAGGGGGAGTGGGAAAAGGAGAAACAAACCTCCCCCCCAACAGGGAGCCTGATGCGGGGCTCGATCCCAGGACCCTGGGATCATGACCTGAGCTGAAGGCAGATGCTTAACGACTGAGCCACCCAGGCGCCCCAAGGGTCCAGATTTCTATTCCTAGACCTGCTGAAAACTAGCCATGTGATCTGGACCAGGTATCCTATATGGGTTGCAGTTCACTCATCTATAAAATAAGGAAATTAGGATTCATGACTCATAGACCTTGATGATTGTCAGAATCATACAGGACACTTTTAAAAAAATGGATTGCCCAGCCAGATCCCTTAGAGATCTTGATTCTGTGAGTTGAGAGCGGTCCTCCCAAAACCTGTATTTTTAGAAAGCTCCTCAAGTGTTTCCAAAGGCCAGTCTAATTGTAAGTCTCCAGATATAATGCACATCAGTGTTTCCCAAAATGAGGGTCCAAGATCACATATATGAGAATCATCTAGAGTGAATATTGGCTTTTTACATTGTGGAGCTTTACCTCAGTCTTACTGGTCTGAATTTTGGGTGGTGGAGACCTGGAATTTGCCTCTTTTTAACAGGCTCTCTAGGTGATTTATTTGTGCGCAGGAGTTTGAAAATCACTGCTGTACCTGTTCAAAATACAGATTCTCAGGCCCATCCCTTTATGGTTCTGGTTCAGGAGGTCCAGGAGAGGGGCCTGCGAATGTTTCTTAGTAAACAAACATGACTAATTGTAAGTGATGAAGCAAATTTGGGGAACCTTGAGGTACCTGAGATCTATAAAACCGTTAGTTCTGTACATCTATATCCAGCATTTTGGAAAACTGCCCCTCGGGAGGCACATCCTAGGTGGACTTCACCTGCATGCTTCCTGCAGGAAGATAATCTGTGAACTGAACATGAGTTCCTTTCTGGAAAACTTTGTATAAGTCGGTTTTTATGTAAATTGGAATCCTGTGGGTTCACTGAAGTACAAGGCATTTAAGCCAGCAGCAGAAAGTTAACAAATCAACGGGAGGGAGTGTGGTTGCCAGATTAGGGTCCTTCCTGCTGAATACGTTTACCTTCGCACACAAAGAAAACTTAATATGTGACTTTACGAAGAAGAGCTTTAGACCAAGTCCAAGGATCCCTTTGAGGACTTGGATCAATTAGAGATCGGAACTTGTCTTCAGTTAACTGAGGTGGTTTCCCCAAGGTGTGAAGACAGGGAGCTTAAGGTTGAGGCGGACAAAGAACAGTTGCTTCCATGCTAACCAGGTTTCACTTCCCCACAGTGATGTTCATCCATGCGTCATTGAGACTCCGGAGCCTCAAGAACAAACTGGAGAATAAAATGGAGGGAATAGGCTTGAAGAGGACACCGATGGGCATTGTCCTAGATGCCCTAGAACAGCAGGAAGAAAATGTCTCCAAAATCGCTGACTATATCAGCAAAGTGAAGGAGTAAATATGGCTGACCTGCTGATAGGGCTGCGGTGGACATCAAGTTGCAGTTTGCCCTTATCCAGACCTACTTCCCGTTTGTGTTCTCGAACTAGGAGGCTCCTGTACCATCCACCTATCTGTGGCAGCATGCATGTATAGGCCCAACTGTTAACATCTCCGATGTTCCAGAGAGAAGCCCTCAGAACCCACAAGGAAACTGCCCTCCTATTATGCCTGAAGTTTCAAGTGTGTTTATGCAAACTGATAGGAAATGGATCACACTTACTTCTGTAGAGAAATAAAAGAAAAAGAATTTTGCATTGTACAGCAACAGTACTGTTAGCTTGTAGGGAAAAAACTAATTGTAAGGCAATCAAGGCAATATAAGTAAATGAAAAAAAACAACAACAACTGTTAAAGTAGATGTCACACATTAGCCTGTTTTAATCCTGCCCCCACCCCCCCACCCCAGCGTCCTCCTCCAAAAATATTCCCTGGGACTATAATATGTGCAGTCTAAACTAATTTAGCTTTTAATTACTTTTCTTTTAAAATCAAAGATGATCTGTATCACTTTGCCGCCTGTTTGACATGCAGTGGAAACTGGATAAACCAGTTGTTTTTATTTTGTTTACAAGTATAAAGATAGCTGTTTAGGAGACTATTTTGTCAAATTTTTGTAAATTTTTGAAATGCTAGTAATGCCTTTTCACTAGCAGGTATTTTGTTGCAACCTAAATATCACCTTCTTTAAGGTTATAGCTACATAACCTATATTATTCTTGACGGTCTTGTCAAAAAAAACAACAACAAAAAAATAAAACTTGAGTTCTGTTTGTATTGCACATTTTTTGTTGTTTTGACAAAAAGGTGTCCAAGATAATGTTTCCTATATATTTTTTTCACTGTTTAGTTTTTAACTGGAACATTTAGAAAGAAGGAAATCAATGTACACTGTTTTGATTTCTTAGGGGCACAAAGAGAACAATAATGGTTGGTCTTTTGAAATCTGAAAGGCATCTGTAGGTGACCAAGCAAAGACTTATGAAAATGGGAGTCATCAGTGGCTTTCGCAATTCATAAAAATTTTAGATAGCAATGGTTACAACCGTATGTTTTTATAGATAAGGCATTAGAATCAAGATAGCATGAGTGTGTATATCCTGTTACTTTCTTCCTTTTATTTCTCCTGTATTTAGAAATAGATGATACAAAATGTTTTGCTTGCCAATTGAGTGATTTCATAGATGAACAGAAAACATTTGGGTTTCCCTAACACTGAATTATGAAGACAACTGGAGCAGTACTTACTGAAGAGACTCTCTGTACGTCCTAAAATAAGAAACAACAGCATATGTTCCTCCTGCTTTGTCTTGCATTTTAATTTCTCAGCCAACCTGCAGCCTTCCTATCTAGTACAGCGACAGCACTGTGACTTCATAGACATGGTGTAGAGTTTGTACCGTCACCCAAATATGGAGAATAAAATTTATCAAAGATTTTTACTGGTGAGACTTTGTTTAATGCACATCTGTTGTGAAATGTCTGGGATACTTGGTGCCAGCCCTCTAAACGATGAGGACGTGGCAAAAACCACTCAGCGCGTGTCTCCGATACAGTAATCTCTCCCCGCCCCCCACCCCCCCATCCGCGCTTTAGCTTTCCATGGTTTCAGTGACCTGCAGTCAGCCTCTGTCCAGAAGCAGATGATCGTCCTTCTGACACATCCTCAGGAGGTCAACGGTAGATAAATACTACGTCACAATGCCTACTCCACTCCTCTCACTTCATCTCCCCAGGAGACATTTTCTCATCTCAAATCATCACAGAAGGGTGAGTACGTTCAGTAAGATAATTTTGAGAGACTGCATTCACATAACTTTTATTGCAGCATATTATTATTCTTGTTCTAGTTTATTATTAGTTTTTGTTGTTAATCTCTGTGCCTGATTTATAAAGTAAACTTTGCTGTAGGTGTGTACAGGAAGAAAACAGGGTATATATAAGGGGTTCAATACTATATGTGGTTTCAGGCATCCACTGGGGTTCTTGGAACATATCCCCACTGGATAAGGGAGGGGGGGGGACTATGGTACTGTTTAATAATACTTTAATACTTTATTAATTTCCAGCCAGAAAAAAATTGAATCCCAACGGGATCCTTTTTTAAACCTGACATATTTGAGCCCTTTCCATTTTCTACACGAATTCTGTAGACGGAGTGCAATCTATTTGGAAAAAGGGACAACTTAAATAAAAAATATACTCATTATAATTACTAATGGTTGGTGGTCAATTCTGGAAGGCAAATAATATAAAAATGTAGCATGTAAGAGCTGTAAATCATTACATTTTAAAAACAAGTTAAGGGGCGCCTGGCTGGCTCGGTCAGTAGAGCGTGCGACTCCTCCTTGATCACAGGGTTGTGAGTTTGAGCCCCACGTTGGATGTAGAGATCACTTAAAAATAAAATCATAAAAAAAAAAAATGAAAAAACAAGTTAAAATCTTCAACTAAGATTTTTAGGGTAGGAGTGGGTAGATGGAAAAAGTGTAAGTAAGCTGCTTCACCTGTCTCTTGACAAAAATCTGTGTAGTGAATCAGTAAGCTATGAATTTGGATCATCTTTTCTCTTTGCACGTCTAAAATTAAAGCCCTCTTGAGGTGCATGGGTGGCTCAGTCATTAGGCGCCTGCCTTCGGCTCAGGTCGTGATCCCCGTGTCCTGGGATCGAGCCCCGCATCGGGCTCCCTGCTCGGCGGGAAGCCTGCTTCTCCCTCTCCCACTCCCCCTGCTTGTGTTCCTTCTCTTGCTGTGTCTCTCTCTGTCAAATAAATAAATAAAATATTTTTAAAAAATAAAAAAATAAATAAAAATTAAATTAAAGCCCTCTTTTAGGACTATTAGCGATTTTTGAAATTCCTGACTTCATTAATACTGTGGCTATACAAGTAAATGCATAAGGGCTTTCAAGAACTTCAACCACTGATATATAGTAGGCTTTTAAACATGTTTAGAGCACTATGTCACATCAGCGGTTAGCCTCTTGATGTAGAATATGCTAGATACTTACGGTGTTTTATTTACAGCAGGGCCTTTTTAACCAACCTGCTTGGCATGCAAGTTTTATAGAAACGGTAACATAGGAGAAAAAAAACTCTCAGCCACTGGCTATTGTAAAATCAGTTACCTGATTGAAACTATAGCTATTCAAATGTGGATACTTTAGTATACACTAAATTATCCATGGGGCACCTGGGTGGCTCAGTTGGTTAAGCGACTGCCTTCAGCTCAGGTCATGGTCCCAGAGTCCTGGGATCGAGTCCCACATCGGGCTCCTGGCTCAGCGGGGAGCCTGCTTCTCCCTCTCACCCTCTCCCCTCTCATGCTGTTTCTCTCTCTCTATCTCAAATAAATAAATAAATAAAATCTTTAAAAAAAAAATTATCCTTAAAAAATGGAAACACCATATTTCTTTCCCATGACTCGTCCTTCTACATAATGTATTTTTAAACTTTTCCCCATTAGATTTATTTTCCCCTAGCCTGTTTTGCTTGTTATATACCACCTATGATTATATAAAAGGAGAAAGAGAGCAGATGCCAACTATTCACTCAGGTGAGGCACCAATGTATGATTTCTTGATTTCTAATGCTCATGCCACGTCCATACAAAATTTCAGATTCTGTGCATCTAGTGACCAGAACAGATAATTGAGGGCTCTAGGAACTTGGAAAGAGGAAAGACCACTGGGGTTGGAGTTATCTGAAAGATTTTTATGGAGGCTTAGGACCTAACCTGTGTAGTGTACAGGTGGGGTAGACTTTGGCTAATGGAGAGCAGAAGGGAAGTGTTTTGGAAAGTGTTCTATGGAAGGGTCAACGAGAGCAAGGCACAGGGTGTGTATGAGAATGTCTTATCAAGAGAAGTATAAAGAATTTGTGGCAAAGCAGACTGAATTACTAAACTGGGAACAGATAATGGAGGGCCTTGAATAATACGTTAAGAAATTTAAGTTTAAACCTATAACAAGTTTCCTCTAGAAGATTTCTGAGGAGATTCACAAGATCAAATTAGAGTCACAAACTAAACTGATATATATATTTCGTTAACTAAAATTAAAAACTTGTCATTAACTATCTTATTTATGCAAAAAAATTTTTTAAACAAAACATGCTCTCTGCCTTTGTCCCTCTATATATGGAAACAGGGAAGTATATATATACATATATATACATATATATGTATATATATGTATATATATCTGCAGGGTTTGTTTTTCCCATTACTTTTCCTGGAAACACTGTGTTCTCCATGTCCTACGCCTCCTTGCTCTGCTCCTCACAGATATGTACTGCTTCCGAAGTATGACGTGCCAGGGGAATGTCCAAGAGAGCAAACTAAACAGGGTTGGAAACTGAAAATCCCACCTCTTCTCCAGAGAAGAGCTAACGAACAGTTCCTCCATTTCAGAGCATCCGCATTGAGCATGGAGCTCAATTCACCCCTCACATTTCCACAGAGTGAAACACGACTGATGCCATGAATTACAGCAGGAGATGGAGGAAGAAATATTTAACACTTCTATAGTATTTATTGTTATTTACTAGAAGAAAGCAAGAGTAAAACAAACATTTATGGGGAAAAAAATTTTTTGTTTTAAACTTCTGCTGCTGGAAGCACGACTAAATTTTACCTAAGTCACTCAAATGGATTGGAAGTAGAAAATGTTGTCCCAGAATAGTAATTTTTTATCTCCGTCCCCCTTCCTTGTCAGGCCCTTATTTTGCCTCTGCCTTTACAACATCCTATCAGATGCCAGCCTTGTTCCCAGTTCCACCACCTGGCTCCAGAAGTATGCTGCTGAGACGGTCTCCAAGCTCTGACCCGAGTCATTGTCTCAATTCCTTGTTCTTCTAGAGTATTCTGTTGCCACTTACGCCAGTTCTTTTGGCAGTTGCACCTGTGGATTGAGGTAGTTGAAGAAAAGGGAAAAAAATTAATCCTGGAAATTCAAGAGTTTGGCAGCAAAAATGACAAAACTTACATGCGTCAGAAGTTGCAGAATGGATGAGAAATTTGGGCCAGAGAGCCTCCCAAAGCATAATAAAGCAACAGTGAAAACTATATCCACCACTCCTGGGGCATTTAGTGATGCCAGGGACTGATCTAAGGGCTTAAGCACATGGTAAAGCATATCATAAAAACAAAAGGGCAGATGCTGGAGTCTGCCCGGTTCAAATCCTGGTACTAGTATTCCTAGCTGTGTAGGGCTGGGCATCAATTTTCTCAGCTGTAAAATGACAGTAACAGTTATGTGGCTAATGGACAAGGCCACTTTAAGGATTACGTCATATAAAACAAGTTAGTAAGCAACGCCACACTTCAAAAACATCTTCTCATTTTATCCTACAATAGTCTTATAAAGAGGGGACAGGCTCGGAGAGGAGAAGATTAGTTAGTGTCAGAGCAGGATTTGAACCCAAATCTGCCTGATTTCAGGACCCAAGCCTTAACCACAAAAAAACAAACAAACAAACAAAAACCACCACAAGAGTATAAAATATATGTTCTTTTATAAACTGGTCTTTCCCTTTTGAAGCACATTCCTAATTTGAAACTCACTTAAATTTAAAAAAACAAAATATTTGGAGAAGCCCCAAGGGCAAAAAAAATTACCAAAGAGTAGCCTGACTACCAATTAACTTTCAGGTTTATTTCATAGGAACAACTTAAAGATAAGGCAAGTTCTTAAACAGTTGCAAATGGTGTCACATCTTAGGAGAGTGACTTATCCATCATGTAGGGACCTTCCAGAGGACACTGAAGAAGTACAGAGGACACTCAGAGTTTGTGTAATAATGACTAAGATAGGAGGGTTGTGACTGCACTTTCATAGGGCTCAACCATGGAGAACACAAAACAGTGAAGAACACCAGTGAGCCAAAAATACAACGCCAGGCAGTTAAAATAACTACAATGCTGCAGCAAATAATTAAAACAGTGTGTTCTTTGTCTTGTTGAATGGGGGGAAAAAAAAGCATTTTTATATAATGCTATTCCAGATACATGTTTATATGCAGGGGAGGGATCCAAACTAATAAAAATATCTTAAAAAGCAAAATGTGGCACTGACCCAACATAGTAAGCCCAGACACATATTGATATATTTAAAATATGACCAAGCTGGAAATTCAGATCCCTGTGAACAAGAATGAATCATGGTTAGCTACCATTGGTCAGCTATTTGGAAAAGAAATAACAAAGTGGGCTTCTTGCTCCCTACTTACTTCTAGAATTTAACTCTTTAATTCATCTGTAATATGGAATGTTCTCTTAAAAACCAAAAACTAGGTTAGCCCGGTGATGGGTATTAAGGAGGGCACGTACTGCATGGAGCACTGGGTGTTATATGAAAACAATGGATCGTGGATCACTACATCAAAAACTAATGACGTATTGTATGGTGACTAACATAATAAAATTAAAAAAAAAAAAAACCCAA